GATCAGTTTGTACATTTTTTAGCGTGCGCAGTGAAATAGCTCATGTTTTTATACGTGCAAACCTTTGATAGATCCGGCCCTAAGATTATAACTGATCAGTACTGTCCTCTACTCTTTAAAGCCAAACAAGAACTAGACTAACAAGAACAAAACCTCTGTGTTGGTTTTTTAAACAAAATAATTATTTATATTGACATGGTGTGGATTTAATTAACTCTAGAGTTAAACTAAATCTGTTTTCAGTTGTCTTCAGATGAGTACATTACTAAGAAGTAAAAATTACTGCAAGCGTTCTAATTACCAAATTCCACTATGGAGGAAGATCAAAAGTGCCCTCGTAAAGTTATAAATGAACTGGATTTAAATTAATTACTAATGATGTCAAAATAAAATTCACCTTCAAGTCCAACAGTGCTCACCTGGTGCTCCAGCAAACCCTTTGACAGGTTTGCTCATCGAGTCCTCCGCTCCTCTGCGTACATTGAGCCGGCGGACGTATCCTGGAGGTCCTGCCTCTCCCGTCTCCACCACAGGTTGGACAGGAGTCACATGCAGGGTTGGCAGGCGGGGATGCTGGGGATACAAGGGCTGGTTTGGTTTCCTAATCCTGATGGTGTGTCTGTTAGCCTGTGCTGGCTGGTTGGGGCTGGAGGACGGTGGAGGAATGATGTGAGGGACATTGAATTGTTTGATCCTGCCTCTGCTCTGAGTTGTATCAGGCAGAGAGGAGGGGCGATCTGGTCTCAGTGCCATTCCTGAGAGAATAAAGGAGAACATATAAAGTTCACTTACATACAAAATAGAAAGTATTTCCCAACATAAATCATTTGAAAGATTTTAATGTACCACCTCTATCGCTATCCAATGAATCTATGTATAATAATTTGTTTTTAGGTGACAAAACGACTTGGCCCTAGCACTGCACCTGTTGGTAACATTTTTACCATTATCATACCACAAAGCTCTGTGAGCCAAGCACTGAAATAAGTTCTGAGCAAGGAGATCCATCTAAAGAAGCAGACAACATGGCTGGCTCCCAGATCTCCTAAAGGGATAGACAGACATCACAGTCTTCTCTGAACTGAGGGCAAGCTGTGAGCGTCCTGGGGAAAAATAATCAGAATATCTCGTTACTGGTAGCTTTTTCTAACACTTGGGGTCAGGCTGACTTTTTTTTTCTTTGCAATTGGGTTACAGTAAAAAGTTTTGTTTAAAAGCGTTTTCAGGGCACATGGGGATTTTATCAATTATATATAGCAAAATCATATAATGTCATTTAGTGAGCTAAGTCTGTTTAAAGTGATCTCACAGCTCTGCTCTCTCACACAGAATACACAAAGGCATCATTATAGACAAAAGTTAGGAAATAGCTGGAGTCCCAAAGGCCACAGTCTACATTGAGCCACATGTTGCTGGTAATCAGGAATGTCTGCTTCCACACAGAAATCATATGATAGTGAGCTTATGTAAGTGTTTCAATAGTGTTGACAAGATTTACCAGCTAAACCCGTTGCTAAAATATCCTGTAAAGTAGGACCATAGAGGCTTCTGTCAATAGGCCACTTATAATCTAACAATTCACTAATCTTACTAGATGGTGATATTATGAACAAATACAAAAAAAGGATTTAAAAAAAATTATTATTTCATTTCAATTCAATTCAGTTTATTTATATAGCGCCGATTCACAACACAAGTCATCTCAAGGCACTTTACAATCCACCAGATCATACTGTCAAATTGATTCAAAGTATTCTATCTAAGGAAAACCAGTTGATTGCATCGACTCATTGACTCAAATGCAATCCCTCACACTAAGCATGCTTGTAGCGACAGTGGAGAGGAAAAACTCCCTTGTAACAGGAAGAAACCTCCAGCAGAACCAGGCTCATTGTGAGCGGCCATCTGCCGAGGCCGACTGGGGTTCAAGGACAGAACCCGAGACAGAAACAGAGATACAAAATGCAGCTGTAAAAGGATGAAGAGAGCACATCCAGCCAGTCACGGTCAGAGAAACAGGACTACACTGGATTTCAGTGAAAAGAAGCAATCCAATGGATTGGGTGGAAATACATTTCATCAGGCATTTTCCATAAATGGAAATCTATTTTTTTATTACTAATCGGAAAATCACTCAGTGTTTTGTTGAGGTATAAGTATACATTTTCAAAACTGTATATAAGAACCTCCTAAAAATGGGAAAAACAAGAAGACAAGCCAGAAAACCTGTCCTGATCTTATGTAACTACAGGAAAATAGCTACTCCCTCAACATAAAAAAACCCTGAAATTTACAACTGGAATGAACAAGCAAATTTCCCCGAATCTATCAATGCAAGGAGAGGGCAAGAAAGACTAAAAACAAAAACAGAAAGAAAAAATACAAAACTCTCTCTCAGAAAATATAATTAGCTTCTTAATAATGGAGTATGCTACTACACTTAAATATGATTAGATTTTATTGCTTTTTGCACATCTTTACCAAACACTGTGCACATGTGTTTCCTTCATGGTACAAGCACCACATAGTTTTGTAGCCCCACTTATTCAGACTTCTTACTTAATTTACAAAGATTTATACTTGAAGAGAAGATACTTTAAATCAATGACTTACATCTGTATCAGATTTGTTAAGAATTTCCAGTCAAAGAGAACTAAGCTACACCCTGCAATAATGACCATAAAAGAGCCTTTAAAATGGGAATTATGTGCATTGACAAGAGCCTCTGAAGACTGTGGCACCTTGAATGCATATATATATATATATATATATATATATATATATAACATTTTCTTTCTTTAAGTATTCATAATCATGTCGGGAATGTAATATTCAGCAACACTCAGCACCACTGATTTAAATGAATGAAACATTGCAATAATATACTATTTGGAACACAGAAGGCCTTTTCCAAATAGATCCCAGGCGGTTCTGTTTAACCATCCATCTGGCCCCAGATTAGTTTTAAATCAGTTTTGAATTTCACAGTGTCTCTTCTTTGTCTGGAGCTTGTGCTGTTCAAACAGACCCAAATGTGTAGTTTTGGGGGCTACGTTTTAGTGCAGTTCATTGATAATTCATTGCAGTCAAGCACAAATAAATTTATCAGTAAGAAAATTTCATTTTTTTTAAAGAAGAGGTTAGGTTACAGTGCCTTCCAAAGGACCTCAAACCACAGGAACTTTTTTGCAATCTGTCATGTTGCAACCACAAAAACAGTATGTTTTATTAGGATTCAATGTGATAAATTAAGACAACCTAACGTATGAATGTGAGGTGAAAATTAAAACGTTCAGTTAAATCTGCAACCTGTTTAAAACATCTAGATGTAATCGCAACAATAGGTTCTGCATAGCCTGTGATAGACTCATAACTTGGCCATGGTGTGGATGATCATATTGAATCAGGGGAGCTAATGTAAAACATAGAACACTTTGAGTTATAATGGATTAGAATAAAGGGCCAGAGATAAAACAAAGATTTTCCATCTATTTTAGGTATTTGGCACCTTATAGATAAGCATGTTAAGCACATATAAGCATTGAAGCAACATTTTTTATAAAGTAAGTTTTCTTTCTATTTCATAGAAATAAAAAATTAGAAAGACATTTCATTGTAAATTCAAAGACAGATCACTCGTAAAGTATCTGAAACTATGTTACATTGCAGCTTGCCAGGTTCTTTCCTATTAGCAAATGAAAAATCATCAACCACCAACAAAATTCAACCCTTTTCCACAAATGATACCACAAACTACTCAGAAGCCACATGTATAATCAGAAATAAATTAAGCTCAGCAATCATTCTGCAGTGAGATAATCAGCAATCTCTTCTTCATTTCCTCCCTGTGCCTCCTTCTAAATACCGACTGCCAGAGTGCATATTTCCCATGAGCCCTCACCCCCTTTCACACCGAGGGGGGGGGGGACCGCACAGTAAAGAAAAAAAATTACACAGAGAGGCAGCTTCATATGTATCAGAAAACATCCCCAGAACCAGATGTTAACATTCAGGGGTGAGACTCAGCAGGGTGGTTTTGGTTTTGTCACTTGTGCCTCCTCAGAATTAGGTGACAGCTTGTGAGTATGCAGCAATGCATGAAAACAAAAAGGGGTATTGCATTGGGAAGGCCGATCACGCAACCCAAAACGGTTCCAAGGGTTGGCTGCACAGAGTAGGGCGTGTTTCTTACAGACATACAGTAAGACATCCCTTACAGCCTGCAATACATATTGTCTGATTCTCATTTCAACTCCTTCTGTGCACGAAGACGTAATTTCATCCTCCACCCCAAGTTTTCCAGCAATGTCACTGATGACGGCAGGCCTGAATTGTCTCCTATGTGTGCGTATCTTCTCTGAAGACTTCCAGATGGAATCCTGGTTCAGGAATGGAAACACCCCACCAGCCTTAGATATCTCTCCAGGGAATCACTAGCTGTCAAAGTTCCCCTTAAAATTTTGGCAGGGCCTAAATATGTAAAGGGTGTGTGAGCATATGTCGAAGGAGAGGGCGAGAGATGGGGGGGTTGTCAAATACAATTTTCCATTCTTTTCCAACAGACACCATTTGACTTCAAAGAGCCTTTTATGTCTCTTACTTCTTGTACTTCCTCATCACAGCAGACACATAATCTTCTTGCCTGTCTTACCAATAAAAAGCAAGAGTGATCAATTCCCAAGCATTGATCCATGAAATCAAAGCCTTTTTTTTATCCCTGCTTTTCTTTTGTGGTTTCTGATGGCCTTCTCTGTCAATATACACTTAGAGCACAGAGTGGAGGATGAGAGAAAGAGAAGTCCTCCGTCACTGCTGGAAGGACAAGTTTAAAGGAAAAACAGTTCAGAAAGACACTGTGGTGAGACAGGAAGAAAAAAGAAAGATAAGTGGTTTAAAAAAAACTGATAAAGGATCAATGGAGAACAAAATGGGTGATTCGTCACTGTAGGACAAAATTAGCAAAACTAGAAAAACTTACTTAAAAGCCAAAGAAAACCCATTTCATAGATTGGACATTTGTATGTGGATGCAGATCGATTTCCAACTTAATTTGAAAGATATGAAGTGTGGCCTGCATCAGTAAACAGTCTTATTTACTATGAAAGCATCAAAAAGTGCAGTTTGTTATTTTTTTAAGCCTATGGGGTACATACAACTCTACAAAATACAGCACAATCCTGGAGGAATATCAAAGGCTGCTCAACTTAAGATTGGTTCGCCTTCCACAAGGATAACACCTGCATACAGAAAAACAAACAGTTTATACTGCAATAAAACACATAAATGGGATGAAAAAGCACAGACATAAATCCCGTTGAGAACCTGTTCCAAATCGCCTAAAAGTGATATTCACAATTGTTTTCTATCTAATCTGACAGAGATTTTACCATTCCAGAAAGAGTTGTATTGATTTGTGGTTCTAATTTAAGAAAATACCGTAACATTTGAAGCTTATGAAAACCCTTGTAAACAAAGCTTTAGTCGTTTCCGGTATACTCACTAGAGAAGGAATCACTAAAAGACAGACAACCACAAGTTTTCTGGGCTGAACTAAGCAGCTGCAGCTGACAAGTGCCAAGATCTTGCAACTAAAGTCACGCAGTTCCATTTAGGAGTCACAACGCATCGGGGAAAGGCTATTCTAGTTAATCTTTTAGCTATGTATTACAACACCTCCTCTGTTCTCAGCTTCCTCAAGGTCTTCATATGACCACATAGAGAATATGAGCTTAAAAGGAAACCAACACCAGACCAT